GGAGAGGCGCCCGCAGTCTAGGGCGGCGCGCACCGCCTTGCTGGCGCTCAGAGGTGGGAGACTCCCCACTCCGGGGGCGTGCGTGGGGACCGTGGCGAATTTCGGGTGACAGCGTTGCATAAAGCAGCTTGGTTGGGGTGCAAGCCCTCCCTCTCCCCCTGTGCAGCGCCCCTCGCCGTAGTGGGAGGTGGGCGGGTGCCCCAGGGACGGATACCTCATGCCCCGGATTAAAAGAGGGTGCGGGGTGGGTAGCTGTCTGAAGAAGGGGGAATTCCCGGGCTAGAGTGTTGGGGTAGTGGGGTCGCCAGATTCGTCGCGATGTTGCCGGTCTCCTAACCCCCCTACAATGTTTCCTTTCTGTACAGCGGTGCCTTTTCCCCGAGACTCCCGGCACCTCTTCAGCGAAAAGGTGAGCCCCGGGGCAGTTGCTTCTCCGACTTCGAAAAGCTTCCGAAAGCTTCTTGGAAAGCGAGGCGGCTGCAGCTGGCACCGGGAGTTTGGGGCTCCCTCCTGGGGACTGTCAGAGCCGCGGGAGAACCCCACGGTCCTGGAGTAGGAACTCCCTCGCTCGTTCTTCCCGGCCGGTAGGGTGCGGCCCGGAGCCCGCACAGCCTTGCAGGTGTTGTAGTAATCCTCTGGCACAGCCACCACGCATTGAGACTTGATGAGCATTGCCAGGTTGCTGGGGTAACTCCTCTGGGATTGGAGATTTGGAGGAGGGGTGGCCCGATTAGGGTAGATTAGGGTAGCTGTTAGTCAACGGCCGGGCAGCTGACAGGTGAAAGAGGAAGGAAGAGGCCGACCCAGCTGTAGAAAGTTAGGGTTCAGTGATGTGGAAACCAGCCACATAGAGGCCCAGTCTTCCCTTGGGTGAGCCTGGAGGACTCCCCAGTCCACTCCAGTTGGGGAATCCCCCACACCACGTATACACACATAACTCAAGGCTTTGGCCAGTTTTGTTTTGTGTTTTTAAATCTATTTTAGTGGCAGAAAGGCGAGTGAGAGGGAAGGCTTCTTCAGGAGGTACATGAGAAAATTACCATCAATAATTAATTGTCTTGCAGGGAGAGTCAACAAAAGATGTCTAGGCAATTGGGGATTTAATATTGAATCATTGAACTGCATGTTGAATATTGAATAATTCAATATTGAATTGTACTGGTTCCCTATTTCTGAAGATTTGATTAGTGTGGGAGTAATAAGGTGCTAGTCCCCCTATTTTAATTGTCCCAAGGAAAATTACTGTTTCTGTTGTCTCTGAAGAAGTTTCTAGTAGTTTGTCCTATTTTTAGAAGTTGTACTGACTTCACTATGAATTTGTATTTTAGATTGGTCCTTTTGATTCATATTTGTATGAATTCTGTGTGTTTCTTAAACATCTTTTTGAGGCCGGGCGCCGTGGCTCACGCCTGTAATCACAGCACTTTGGGAGGCCGAGGTGGGTGATCAGTTGAGGTCAGGAGTACTTCAAGACCAGCCTGGCCAAGGTGGCAAAACCTGGTCTCTATTAAAAATACAAAAATTAGCCAGACGTGGTGGCACACACCTGTAATCCCAGCTACTCGGGAGGCTGAGGCAGAAGAATCCCGTGAACCTGGTGGGGTGGAGGTTGTAGTGAGCCGAGATGGCACCACTGCAGTCCAGCCTAAGCCACGGAGGAAGACTCCGTCTCAAGAAAGAAAGAAAAAAAACTTTTTGAATAAGCTGCTTCAGAAAAACCTAGGAATTATAATGAAATTACATATTGATATATCCACTTATATATTTACCAAAAAAACCCACTTTTTTCTTTTATCACATTAAAAGAAAACCAAAGCCAAATTTTAAATGCTTGAATTAAAAATTAGAAATATGTGTATAATGTTGAGCATGAAACCAATTGATTATATTTAGGTGTGTTTATTAATTTGAAAAATCAAAAAGGAAAACATTTTAATATACTAAAAAGTTTTTTCTTCATTTTAAGACCTAAGGACCCAGCAAGTGGAAATATATAAATTACATTAAGTGTCAAAAATTCTTAGAATGGATTCATATAACCCTCAATTGTATAATTAAAGTTGAAAATATACTACCATAAAAACCTTCAGTCAGATTTAATAATGGCTTTTGTAGCTCATGTTTTCATTTCCTTGTTAACTATTTCTTGAATTCTTTGTTGCATTAAGTACATATTTTCTAGTATTTAGTTAGATTAAAATGTTTGATGAAATTTCAGGAAACTATACTTTCTTTTGAGAATGCACACCTTCCCAGGTGACAAGGTCAAATGTTGCATAAACCTAGGCTGATTCATTTATGTTCCTAAACCTCACATTTGACTTCAGATATTTTTGCTATAATACTTACACATGTAAGTATTATATGTATGCTATATATTTACAAATACTATATTACATATTTACATATGCTATATTTGTGGTTCATGTTGTGAATAATGTCAGGTATATTTTATATATAAATGAAGAGATCTGTATATTTACATATATAAGAATTCATATTTATATGTGTCTGTGGAGAGATTTGTTAGAGTGGACAGCCTGTTTAAAATAGAGTCCAAAAAGCCTTCTTTGGGTATAACAATTATAGGTAGATAGTACCTTTTTTTTTTGGAGACAGAGTCTCGCTCTGTTGCCCAGGCTGTAGTGCAGTGGCACGATCTCAGCTCACTGCAAGCTCCGCCTCCCGAGTTCACACCATTCTCCTGCCTCAGCCTCCCAAGTACCTGGGACTACAGGCGCCCGCCACCATGCCCGGCTAATTTTTTTTTTTTGTATTTTTAGTA